AAAAAAAAAAAAAAAAAAAAAAAAAAAAAAAAAAAAAGAATTAAGATTAAAACCAAGGACAGAGAGGGCAAAGCCTTCCTTAACCAGCTTAAACTTTCTAAAATACTACTATTTTTACTTTAACAACCACATTTTGGTTGGGACAGAAAAGTGTTCAGACAATGAAATATAAAATCCCATACACGCTCATACTCATTAAGACCAACACACAGTACACACATGGACACAGACAAGGTCTCGCTGTGTATCCCTGACTGGCCCTGAACTTGTTATGCAGTCTAGGCTGGCCTCGAACTCTCAGGGCCCTGCCTGCCTCTTGCCTCCCAGTGATGGGATCAAAGGTGTGTGCCACCACACCAGACCAAAGTTTCTATAGTATAAAGAAGCTTACGGTGTGACTATACATGTTTGAGTATGTGTGCCAGTGCATGTGCGAATGAGTGTGTGCAGATTTGAACTATGTGTTCAAGTGGGTGAGTGCATGTTGCTTCTTCTGCAATGTTTTAGATTTTAAATAGTTAGGTTACAGTGTTTTCTGCTTAAGACTCATTGAAGTGGAACTGGGCAGACATTTCCTTTCATGCGACACAGGGATGGTCCTCTGGCTACAGTCACGGACGCTAGTGACAGGCACTTCGGTTCCTTCCCCAGTGGATTGGAAACCTCGGTCCGTCATCTCTCTGACCTTGCCTCCCATGTCAAGACAAACACCGCAGCTCTTGACGACTACGGGAAAGGGCAGGTTGGTGCTGGTCACGTGGGCACACAGCCCGACCTGTCTCAGAGGCATACCTGCTCTGTGCTGAGTTGGCAGCGGCCTGCATCACAGCTGCAGCAGCTTCCTGGGCCTTCCTGTTCACAGTGGGCATGGGCGGGCCCATTCCTGGCCCTCCCTGCTGAGACATGCCAGGAGAGCTGGGGGTGACGCTGCTCATGTTTCCAGGGAACGGTCTGCTCTGCATCCCAGCGGAAGGCATCCGTCCCAGGGGCACCGCACCACATGGCTGGGCTGGCCCTTGTCCATGCATCTGGTTGTTGGCATTGATGCCCATACCGGGCCCTGGGCCGCTGTAGCTTGCACTGGGTACACCACTATACGTTGGCGTTCTGGAGTAGTTGCCTAAACAGAAAGCAAAGACAAGTTAAGCCTTTTACTTAAACATTCATGAAAACGTTTGCCGGAATACATCCTGTACAGTGATGTGCCCACCACAGGGGTGATGTGCCCACCATAGGGGTGATGTGCCCACCACAGGGCACTGGCCACCAGTCATGCTCTGCTCCTTCTTCCTGTGCAGACATGGCTGCATTCCCAAGGCTCCCGGAGAACCAGCTCAGTGACAGAGAGCCCACAGGACTCCGCAACACTGACACAGAAAGCCAGTCTTAGAACACGCTGCACCAAGCTGGGCCTGGAGGCTTGGGCAGCTGAGGCAGGAGGATCACATGCTCAGAAACGTCTTGTGCTACTGGGAGGGTTCATTGGCCACCACAGTAAGTAAGACCTTGTCTCAAAATAAAAATAAATAAATAAATAAATAAATAAATAAATAAATAAATAAAGGGCTATAAACATAGGCCAGTGGTACAGCATTTGCTTAACATGCACAAGGCCTTAGCGTCAATCCCCTTTGCTGCCAAAACAAAATGAACAATCAAAGAGTTCCCAGCCCCAAATTCCGTCCATGTGTTGAATACCTTACACTCTTACACTTCACCCAGAAGGACAATGTTAGACAGTCTTCAGGTGAGGGCCACTGAGACAGCCCTACCACATCCTGCTTCCACCTGACTGTAGGCAGAGACCCATGACCTCACGGGAAGGAGTCCTGTGCATCTGCACTGGTCCAGCTTGGCTTCTCTCTACTGTTGGATCCAACCCTTTCAGGCCCAGACTGCGTGGCTGGTTTACGTACTGGGGTCACGTCTCGTGGCTCTGGGCACTAGCAGGTCAAGGGGCACAGAAAATGGTGATGTGGGGGGAGGAAGGCGGGGTCCAAGACTGAGGCCACTGCCCGCATGGCCTCTCCCCCTCTGCGGCCCGGCAGGCACCTGCAGGGCCCCCAGCTGTGGCGGCGGCTCTACTTCCCTTTCCTTCCAAACCTCAGCACGGCGTAACTTCAACAATAACAGCAGATGTTAACTGCTGAGCCCAAATGCACACGAGACACCTGGGTAAAGTGTTCTGCCCCATGAGTTAATCCAGTTCCCCTCAATAACCAAACACATCATTGTTTATAAAGGAGAAGAACCCAAGCTTGGAGGTTAGGACTGAAGCCCATGCAAACTGATTAGAGAATCCATGCATTTAACCAATGAAACAAGCTGTCTCCCAGAAATAAAATAATGTAAAAAAGACAAGTGTCTACAGTCTACGGACGGATTTTTCCAACTGTTCCGACTACATTCTGGAACATTCTCCCATCACCTAATGACAACACATACAATAAAATGCCAGAAACGGCTCCAGGTACAGAGGAAATAGTTCCACGCTTGCACCTGGACAGCTCCCAATTTAGATGTATGCGTAGGTACGTGCGCCCCAGTGTATGCAGTTAGAGGAGGGACGAAGGAAAGAATACGAAAGGAAAACCACATGATGGTGGCGGGAGGTGCGTCTGCCCGGGATGGAGGATCAGGAATTCTGATGGACGGTGGACTTTTGACTGCGCGGGCAGTGGTGGAACAGAAGCCTCTGATGGAGGACAGGCTCTGGGGGCGGGGTGAGCCCTGTGCTTCCTGACTGGGTACTCTTGGGAAGCCTGTCTCCAGCTTTCTTCCAGAAACCATCCTCTGGATGTTGTCACACAGACGTGTGTCGAGGGCTTCCTGACTAGCTGGTGAGTGGACAAGAGGCAAAGAGGTGTAAGTATGGACAAGTCACAGGACCGTCCACGACCAGCAGAGAATGGCTGAGGCAGCCACTCGGGCAACGTGGAGCTGGGAGGGGAAGAGGAAGCAGCCGGAGCTAGCAGTCCTGAGGGCCATACTTCTGAGTGTGGGCACACCTGAAGCCAGGAAGGAGCTACTCAATGGTTTTCAGTAGAAACAAAAATGGACCAATAATAAGAAAAAACAACCCCTTACAATTATTATGTGCTAGGTTCAGTTCCAAGTTCTTCAAAACAATTTGATTCCTTACAAGATGCTCAAGAAAACATTTCACTAGGACCCTCATTTTGAAGGTGAGAACTGAAGACCCAGGTATGCCAAGTTACCTCTCCCAAATAACTGGGGAGCTGTGAGTGTGGCTTGGAGGGCAAGCCATTTGTACTGTGTGCGGCCTCTTTAGTGCTTAAGAAACAGTATGCTTATGTAACCACACCATGAAGATGTCCAAACAGGCTTTCTTAAATCCACATAAAGCCGAATGACCTCCAGATCCACAGGAAGTAAGACACTTTCAGCTCACTGGGTGCCTGCTGTTAGATGCGTGGTGGGTGAGCTTTCTCCTTCAGCTGTCTGTGAAGTATGCGCTGTTATTTACTGATGAGGTGGAGGCCTCTGTTCATGCAGGCCATAGGCTGGTACAGTATGTCTGCCAAGGGCCAGAGAGTAAATATTTCAAGCATCGGGGGTCAGCCTATTCTAACGACTCAGTTCTGCCAATACAGATTAGAGCTCCAAAGCAGCCACATGTAGATACTCACACAGCATGACAAGTGTGCTGTGGGAGCCCACAGAGGCTTCCTAGTGAGGACTTACTTAGGGTCAGGGAATGTGGGCTTGCTTTACCCAGCAGGGCTGTGGAAGGAGATGATTCGGCCACGGGCGTGTTTACTAGGTGTTTGGAAGGGTCTACACTTGGCTGTACGGTGTGCTTTGATCTTGCAAGGAGGAGGTTTTTTGCCTCTCCCCTTGGCATTTTATAAAAAGCCCTTTTCAATAAAGGACGAAGCTGTTGGGTATTGATCCAGGCCCTCCCGAAGCTGTCCTGTGTTTCTGTCTTTCTTCTCTTTGGCTAGGTCTCTCCTTCTGATACTTCCTCATTCCTCTCTCCTCTGCCTAAGAACCCTTCAAAGGGTGGGAGCCGGCCTCCCACAGTGTATATTTATAAAACAGGGTCAAAACAAAGGGGATTTTGCTGACCCCTGCCACACACCCATAAGCTGTAACACTGGCTCAAGGTGGCAGTATTAAACAGAATGCCATTATGAAGGCTGGAGGGGGACATGGGAGGACTCTAAAAAGGCAGGGCAGACCCAAGGATATGAACATTTGAGGACCCAGAGGAAGGGGAGTAAAAGATCCAAGAAGTATGAGGCAGGCTGATGGCAGGTCTTCCACCAGAACACAGTCTCTTTGCCAAGTTAGAATGTCTAGAGATAATCAAGCACACACTGTTCTCAAACAAAGGTTTAAAACACACCGAAACTGTTCACAATCAAAAACTTCTTCCAGAAAGGTGTAAAGTGGTTTCTGAGTGCCCCACCCTCTGGGTTGTCTGTTTGCAGAGGGCCAGGTCAGCAGGAGCAGCACCTTCCTGGATCTTCAGGAAGCTGGTGCAATGGAGGATTTCCCCTGTGAGCAGCCACGCTGACTCTGCCTCCCCTTGCTGACCTCACAGCCTCTCACCTGCAGTCTCTTTGTCTCAGCTCCCGTTTGGCTTTGCTTTTAACCAAGCAAACACAAACTCATTTCTGGTGTGAGCATGTAAGGGATGGGTCCACAGACCCACACTTTACTTGGAGACTAGTTCGTACCCTCCCAACACTTGATAAACGACTCCTGGGGAGGTAGCCCCTTTCTCTAGGAAAAACACCTTTCCTTTGAAAACGATACTTGAAGCAAGCAGTGGTGGCGCACGCCTTTAATCCAAGAGTCTGGGAGGCAGAGGCAGGCAGATCTCTATGAGTTCAAGGCCAGCCTGGTCTACAGGGTGAGTTCCAGGACAGCCAGAGCTACCCTGCCTCAAAACACAAAGAAGAAAAGAAACTGACACTTGACTCTTGTTTTGAAACAAGCATCTGGACATGGCTATTCCAACCACACTCTACTCTTCCTGCCATTTTACCAGAGAATCCTGTCCCTGACCTTGCTGAGCTCTGCTTACGGTGCTGGGAGACAGAGATTGAGCTCTCCCATTCTCGCCCTGACTCACGGTGAAGCGAGGACCTAACAAGCTGATGCAGATGGATCTTGATGAGCGGAGGAGAGAACGGCCCTGCGCCCCGCTCCAAGCTCTCACCCTTCCTAGACTGGGGGGCTGGCTTGCAGTGAGGCTCCACTTAGTCGATGAGGGTAGTGTGTAAGCCTGCACTGTGGTTCCCACTGGACTCTCAGTCCATTTTCTTCTGTCAGGTGGAATCACATGTCCAGGAAAGGGTTCTAATTCCAGAGGCCTCTATTTGAGAGAAGAAATACAAAGTCCCCTTTCTCTTCCCGGAAGCCTTCAACACTCTCCTCACTGAACCCACGGGCCCGGACCACCACACCCTCTGAAGGCTCCAACGGCTTCCCAGGTGAACACAGGCTGCAGCAAGGGGAGCCGAGCCCTGCTTCTGACACTGCCTGGCGGCGCGACCTTCACAAGTGATTTAGCATCTCCACGCAGTGGCACTGTCATCAGGGACATGCGATGTTAATGGGCAACAGCACAGCGCCCGCAGCGCCGCCATCAGCAGCGAGCCAAGGACGCTGGTGCCGCTTCCCTTCCACCTCTAAAGACGACTGGATGGGGCGGGGCACGATCCACCCCACCCTACGCGGTCTGCAGCTCGTATCCGTCCTCTAACAAACAGCATCCAAATGTGTAAGCCAAGCAAAATGGGAGAGGAAACTCCAGGACGGAGGAGTGCGGTCTTCCTCCCGAGCTTCTCTAATAGATTAGTAATTTGTTGGCACTGGCTCTGACAGAAAACAGATGGGCACAGCATTAGGCACAATGAAGGCAGCAGATGCCGGGCCAGCCCACCTCAGCTGGACGGCTCCTGCAGCCAAGTCCGAGAGCCCACCGTTTTCAAGTGGGTTCATCTTGGCACACCCGCTTTGGAAAATCAGTCACGAATGAATTCAGATTTCAGCCCAGCAGGAGTTACATTCAAGCACCGCACAGAGGAAGCGGCAGCGAGGCGCTATTTAAGTCACCGCCATTATTTTAGGAGGGCTGCAGATAATTCT